ACTAAATCCCTCAGTCACAGGACTACCATCAGCAAAAGCAGGTGTAATACTCAGCACAGTGAGCAGCACATAGTACATGCTCAAGAAAAGGCAATTCTTGCTATCCATAGAGTGATTCTTATGATTATTTTAACTTAATGAAATTCAGTGTATGTTTAATGATTCCCTCCCCTGCAAGGAACTGGAATAGAATAAGGGGCTAAACAAGGCAAAATTGATGTTGTTAGTTACCATCAATTCAGTACTGACTCATGGCAACCCTATGCAAACAGAACCATTGCTAGTCTTGTGGCATGTGCATGTTCATTGGTATGCTCAAGTCCATTGCTGTGTGTGAATCAAATGCCTTTCATTGTGGGGATTCACCTTCACACTCTATTGGACCACATTCAATTGTGATCCATAGGTTTTCATTGGCTGATTTTTGAAAGTAGATCACAGGCCTTTCTTCCTACCCTGCCTTTGTTTGGAATCTCCACTGAAATCAGGCCACCATGAGTGACGCTGCTGGTATTTGAAGTACCAGTGGCATAGCTTTCAGTATCATAGCAAAACGCAGGCACCCCAGTATGACCCAAACAGAGAGGTGGTAGAAGGCAGCATTTTCTACCCATTATACAGTAAGCAATTTGAGGCTTCTTTTATATCTATTTTACTCTTACCTAGCACAGCCCCTAACAGACGCTAAAAAAAAAAAAAAAAAAAACCTGCCATAGAGTCAATTCCAACTCACAGTTTCCCCCATTGGGTTTCCAAGGCTGTAAGTCTTTACAGAAGTGCACTGCTTCATCATCCTCCCACAGAGCAGCTAGTGAGTTTGAACCACCAGCCTACTGATTAGCAACCCAATGCTTTACCCATTGCACCAGCAGAACTCTTCAGTACATGTTAGACATTCAATATATCTTTGTTGGCCTGAATTAAATTTAAGGTGCTTGCAATCTAGTGAGTGATATAAATGTCATGGCAATAAAAATAATAATAATACATTAAATAAAATAAAGACATCCCTTCTGGCTTAGAGGCTGACTTTAAAGTAAAGACATTTGAACTAGACCTTGACATGAGGCTTGTCCATCAGCAGGTAAGATGAGGGGTTTTAAAAAGACCATTCTAGCCAAGAGAAAGAGTTTAAGCAAATCTCCACAAAGCTAGACAATTGCATGGTATGTTAAATAGGTAGGGGGTTAGATGTTCAGGGGATTGCATGGGTGATATGCATGGGGGGATTTAACCTGCTGCTCTTCAGAGATAAGAATAAGTCAGGTTGGGTCTGGAATGATATATGAAGGAATATAGACTCTGTTGATTGAGGCTTGGGGAAAACCAATTTTTTTTTTATATTGCTTGGTTTTTACCAGGAGATAATCCAAACCAACATGATTTGGCCCCAACTTTAGAAAATATGCCACAACAGCATTTCGGCGAAAGGACTGAAGGACAGAGAGAGTGGAAGTAGGTAGATCTGTCAAGGGTACATCAAAAAGTGCTTCGTGAGCATGATCAAAATTAGGGTGAGGGCAGAGGATGGCTAGGAGGGGCGAGAATGAAGAGGCATGCGTAGAATGAACCATATCTGGCAACCAATTGATGTAGAGAAGAAAGGATTTAACTCTCAGTTATTAGACCTTGAGGTATGGAGATGCCAGAGAGAACAGATCTTAGATTAGGGAGGTAGAAAATGATGAGTTCACTTTCGAATTGAACAAAAAAATCAATTCAAAGTCAAAAAAAAACAAAACTGGCCATTAATGCCAAGAAATAGATATTCAGCCAACAGCAATGAGTTATGGCTTTACAATCAAGTAATTGGCCTGCTAATCTTACGCTGCCCAATTCTGGGGAGGCTACTTGCAGGCTCAGTCCTACATATGAATACATATATGGTGCTTCCATTTCACAATATCCCCCCCTCCTATGAAAGAGGAACATTGCTAAGAGCACAGAACCACCGAGGAGTTGCTTTCATGGGTTGTCCTTGTTAAGCAGAAAATCACATAACTTACTCAAATCAATCCCTTTGTTTTAATGAAAGTTCTTGATTGAGTGCTAGGGTGAAGCAAGCAAGCTCCCTCACTGTCAGATACACCCTTCCTGTACTTGGGAGGCCCTAACACTAAAGGGCCTCCTTAAATGTTGTGCCCACACATCTTGTTCATCTCACTCTAATGCTAGCCCTATTAATAGTGTGAAATTCTTTGCAGGACTAAGTAGTAATACACCACTGCCATTGAGATTCCAATCCACAGTGACCTCCCCAGGATTTCTAAGGTAGTAAATGTTTACAGAAGTAGATTGCCTCATCTTCCTCCCACAGAGCAACTTGTGGGTTTGAACCACCAACCTTCTGGTTTGCAGCCAAATGCCTTAACTATTGCAACACCAAAAAAAAAAAAAAACCTACCGTCAATTCTGACTCATGACAACCCCCATTGGGTTTCCAAGGCAGTAAATCTTTACTGAAGTAGATTACCCCATCTTCCTTCTCAGTAGTGGCTGTAAATTTAAACAACCAACCTTCTGTTTATCAGTCAAATGCCTTAGGCACTGTGCCACCAGGGCTCCTCAAAAATAGCAATAAATGTTCTTAATTAAAAAGTCATTGATTTGTAGGAGGGAGTCTCTGGTTGGAGAAAATAGTTAAGTGCTCAGCTAGTAACCAAAATATTGGCAGCTTGAATCCACCCAGAAGTGCCTCAGAAGAAATGCCTGGCAATCTGCTTCTGAAAGGTCAAAAAAAAAGAAAATCCAAACTCACTGCCATAGAGTCAGATCTGAATCACAGTGACCCCTCCTTGTGTTTCCGAGGCAGTATCACTATGGAAGGAGATTGCGGAACCTTCCTCCTGAGAAGTGGCTGGTGGGTGTGAACCACCAGTCTTCTGGTTAGTAGTCAAGTGCCTTAGGCACTATGCCACCAGAGCCCAAAGCCTTGAAAATCCTATGGTGCACAGTCCTAATCTGCAGCACAGGGGTCTCCATGAGTCAGAATCTACTTGACGGCAACTGGTTGGTTTGTATTATGTTATAGTACAGTACCAATAAGCATTTCCTGTAAGAAGTCAGCTGGAAATACTTTTGACAGTGTGGGCCATGCAGTCGCTGTCCCAATTTCTCATTTCTGCCATTATAGTAGAAAAGAGCCATAAATAATACACAACTGAATGGACATGACTGTGTTCCTACGAAACTTTGTTTACAAAAACACTCAGCAGTTGCTCCACATCTTACTTTGGTGGGTAGTGACTGGGGTCTTAAAAGCTTTCAAGTGGCCATCTAAGATGCAGCTAATGGTCTCCTAGCATCGGAAGCAAAGAAGAATGCAAAAAAAAAAAAAAAGGAAGGGGGCATTTAGAAGTAATCAGCCATAGGAAACCATGGCCCTTGAGACCAGAAGAACTAGATGGTGCCTGGCTACCAATGCCAACCACTAAGGAAAGGATTAAATCTGGAGATCCTGGATAGACTGGGAGGGAAAACATTTAACAAAATCCAAAAACTCAGTAATGACCAAAATTACTGGTCAGATGAAATCTGGCGAGACCCCAATACTATGGCCCTGGAAAACATTCTGTGCCTTGAATAAAATGCACCCTCAGGGACTGGCTCTCAGCCCAATAGTTAACAAGATGTACACGCAGACCATTCAACCCAGTATGATGCACCGACATACTCTGTGGTAATATATCCCTTAGAGCAATAGACCACCAGGCACCAGAGGGGCAACATTCACATGGAGGAAATGCAGGACAAACAGGAGGGCATAACTATGAGGGGCACAGGGGAAGGTTACAGGGTAGGGAGGGGAAGAGACTGGGGTAGGGTTGGACATGGTAAATGGGGAATGAAATTAGATGTACATGGAACGTTGAATGTAAAACAAGCTGTTAAAATAAAAATTAAAATTAAAAAAAAAAAAAAAAACCACTGCAGGCCTGATTTGGCCTTCAGGTCATACTTTTCCAACCCCCTTTGCTTCAAAGGAACTGGTCAGACCCATCATTTACCAACTGATGTGGATTTGTACATGCACCTCTGTAAAATCTGATAATTATAGCTTCCTGGCTGATGGTGAGGATTGAATAGAATGTGTGTGAAATGTCTCATCAGTAGCAGTCATTCCATGTGTCAGTGGTCTTTTTAATTACAAGGTATAATAACAATAATAGCTAATACTGACTGAAAGCTTATTTTACTTCAACCACTATATTAAAAACTTTATAAAGACAATTTTATCTAATCTCTCATCAACCCTCTGAGGTAGGTACTTTATAGCATTTTGTTCTACTTGTGGGAACTGGAGCACTGAGGACGCCAAAAAAATGCTTATACAGATGAAAGTGATGTACCAAACCAGTTGCCACCAAGTCAGTTCCAACTCATGATAACCTGATGTCTGTCAGAGCAGAGCTGTTCTCCAGAGGGTTTTCAACAGCTGAGTTTTTGGAAGTGGATCACCAAGCATTCGTCTGAGGTAGCTTTGGGTAAACTCAAACCCCTAACCTTGTGGTTAACAGCCAAGCAATTAATCCCAAGTAAGTGAAGTGACTCCAAGGGCCTTTGGGCAAACCACTGGGTTAGTTAATTACTTCCACTCATTCACCTCCAATAGAAGTGTTCAAAATCCTCTCAAGTTCTGCAGGGTTTTTCCTAACACACCAGAACATTCTACAACTGAAAATAATGTAATGAATCAACTTTTGGAGAATTTACCTTCAGATTAACACTGTAATACTATTTTATGTAACTAAACACTTATCCCTCATCGTGCCACAGGCCTATCCCCCCACCCACCTCATGAAGATCTCAAAACTCAAGAGAAACCAGAATATGATTGAGAAAGCTAATGCAAACCTATCAAAAAAACGTATCCCGTAATCATTCTAAAAACTTGCCATTTCAAAGCTACACTGCAGAATAGCACACTGGATTAATTATGCCAGACTGCAGCAATAACCTTGAATTAAAGCTGCAACCTTCTATTTTTAAGAAACACTTGCCTTTCTGGTTGATGAAACCTGTCGTCCCATCAGGTAACAGACGTGACCAGGAAAGAGAGAAGCGGTAATGAGTCAATCCAAGCTGTTTGATACATTTCAAATCTTCCTCCCACAGAGTGTAGCTGCCACAAGCTACATCACCAGTCTGGTTCTTGAACACTCTCTCTCCTCCCTGATGGGTGAACGTGTCCCAGACACAAGGGCCTTTTCCATCTGCATCCCAGCCTCCTGAGGAAAAGAAGAAAATGAAATGGTTACACTCCTGACATCAAGAGGCATATGAAGAATGTAAATATTTGTCACCAAAAGAACATACCTTGTTAACTCAATGTACCATATTTATAACTTTAAAATATGCCTTTAAAATAACATGCACAAATGTTTAGCTGCCCTTGATCCCTGAAGCTGACTGGTGGCAAATGAAAAATTATTGCACAGTGCAGCACATTGCAGGGTTTCATGGTCCATTAGCTGAAGATCTCTGCCCCTGGTAAACAAAGGCAGGCCCCAGCCTAAGAATGTCTAGTTGAAAACAACTCCTCCTTGTGAACATCCCCTGGGTCATGACTGACAGCATGACTTGTCCTTCTTTTTGTCCATGACAGTGCCCTGGGATCTTACCTCTGGCACTCTATGCTTCAACCCTAGTCTCTTATTATCTGCCAATGGAGTATGAGTCAACTGTTTGAAGGGAGAATGCTAGTCCACCACTGTTGATGATTTTCATGTCCTAAATATATTCGTTCTGGCCTCTGCTAATTCAACAAATGCTTTTGTTATCTGCTGTTGAATGGGCCTCCAACTCATAACTCCATGTACAAAAGATCACGATTGATCATGGGATGGTGTGAGTGTGGACAGTATTTCATTATGTCTTGCTTGGGACTGCCATGACGTAGGGGCCCACACAACAGGAGCTAGCAGCCACAACAACATACACAAGATGTAGAAGTATAAAAACATATCTGTAAATTGTAAATTCAGGCTAATGACTACCTCTGGGGAGAAACACAGGAAAACAGAGCCTGGGAAGGCCACAAGAGAACTTTGGGTTGTATCTCTTATGTTTCATTTCTTAAGCTGGGTGGAAGGAACATCAGGGCCTATTTGTTACATTACTCACAATCTTTTTTATATGCTTGAAATATTTCATAATAATTTTTATATCAGAAAAAAGGTCAGAACTAGAAAAAAAGTAGACTAAAGAAATTATAAGGAGGTCTTTCGGGTCCTCATCTACTTGTATTCTGTGCTCAGTTCTAACAGGTTAATGCATAGCTTCTAATTCCAACAAGAGGCAGCAAGTAATAATAGGTTCTCAGAGAGGGCATGGGAAGATGGGAGATACTACTGTTGTTGTTGTTGTTATGTGCCATCTAGTCGGCCCTGACTCATAGCGAACCCTCCTTGGGTTTCTGAGACAGTATCACTACGGAAGTAGATTGCTCCATCTTCCTTCCAAGGAGTGGCTGGTGAGTTTGAACCGCCAGCCTTCTGGTTAGCAGTCAAGTGCCTTAGGCACTATGCTACCAGAGCTCCGAGAAATACTAGTAGAAGGAGGAAATTTAACAAAAGCAAAAATGATAGTTGATATCAAGGTAGAAGACTAAATGCCTCTACAAATGAGACATCACACTTAACTTTGAATATTATGATTAATGGAACCTTGTATTATAGAAGCAGATAGTTTTATACATTCCAATAATTCTTAAGTCAAGTCTATATATGGGGTTTAGAGGGGTAGGGTGAGAAGAAGGCTGGTATTGGAACTTGGAATGAGGTAGTCATATACACTAAAATATAATTTTGTTCAAGCACAGTGCTCCTAGTTTTGAATAAATATT